TAGCTAACTAATTTTCCAAACAAATTATTATTTATTAGTATCGTGATAATACTGCGCAATGTTTTCGACAACCTAAACGTTATGCAATATTTTTTTTAAATATATGACTCGTCTGTTGTATTGTATATGGAATTGAAGTGCGACCGCAGTGGCTGGCGGCACGCTTGTCGTGGGAACTTGACCCAGTTGGTGTGGCGCGGCGCGGGCGGCGCGGCGTATCGATTGCGAGAGGCACCGCGTCGCCCGCTGCGTCACACGCGCCCCTTACACGCACACAAACACATCGTAACTAGTCACTGTCTGTTAGTACGCAAATCACTAGAACCATTCGCAATGCCTTACAATTGACTGTAAAGAATAATAAACAATGCAATAGCGCAATGGCGTAAATTCGCAAGCAAATTTGGTGTACACCAGGACAGGGGTTCAGGGATTTGGGACAGGATATTCATACTTATCTATAAATTCACCTTTAAATACTTAAAGAACACGGTGTTTCTCGCCCAATCCACTTGTGAAAATAAGTTTTGGTCCAATACTTTGCACATTAACTCGAAGAGATCGACCTCACACTGATTGTACGTCTGACTTTGCAAGAGCCCAAATAGCGAATTCTGCCACTCGCGGTCATCAATAGTTTGTACAAATTCGCGTATCATGGGTGAGACTCGTAAGGATTCAGTGCTTGTGGGTTCGGCGGTGCTCGACGGTGTTGCGGCTGCTGTGGCAGGTGCGTCAAACGCGAATGCGTCTGGAGAGGCGGAGTGTGGCGAATGCGCTTCCCACTTGTCGTGAGCGGGTGGCGGCGGAGGCTGAGGAGGCTGCGGCTGCGCACCCAGCAAGGCTGGGCCGGGTGACGACTCTGGCGATGATGTGAGAGATGACACTTGTGGGATCTGTATCTCTTGCTTTACTGGAACCGCTGCGTAAGGCGGTCCAAAGCCAAGCACTAAACCACTGTCTCCCAAAGAGCCACGTAATGTCTGCACTGCGATTTGCCTCTGTCGCATCATTTGCAGTTTGCGGGCACGATCTCTTTTGTACATGGGACCAAACTTGTTACGACCTCCTCGCATGCGATCAGCTCGCACAGCTGAAACAAAAGAAAACAACTTTAAATACGACGTAAATATTGAAACACATAAATAATATTTTTCAGTTTAAATTGACTTGCTAAGTAATAATCATAACAATAGTTCTGCCATTTTTCGAAGATCAATATACAGTGCTATGTTCGACTTTAGGTGCTTCAACGGCAAGAAATCCTATGGGTGTCGGGTTTTTAAAAACTGTCTTTAGACATATTTTTAGTTAAAGCGTCTAGTAGTATCAAATACGGAAGTTTACAAGAATGAAAACAGACAGTTTTTTTTATTGAGTTAAGTTGCAATTGTAAATTAGTCTAAATTCGATGGTGGTTAAGCTATATTTTTCTAGTCACTGGATTGTTGTTATTGGTTAGAATTAGTTTTTATTAATATGAATCACATAATGATGACAAATATCGATTCAAGATAACCATTCTACCTATTTAGGTTACGTTATCAAAGATAATAGAATATTTATGTTTAGCGGTGTGATATTCTTAAGTCACAGTTTAGTGCTGTAAGTAATTATTTGCCATTCAATAAATATTTAATAACTTGAAATTTAGGACGGTGGCCTCATAACACACGCAGAGTCGACCGCTCTTTATGATTCTGGCTGAATTCCAAATTCCGACCGCCGGGCGCTCCTTGCGGATCGCGATACCAGCAATTTATGATTGTTCCGATTCTTTGTACACTACACTGAACTAACTGACATCGTTGTAATCAATGTTCGTTTAACAGAAACTTAGTTATTATTAAGTTATTCAATAAAATTCCAAAGTTATTCCAAACATATGCTTTCAGGTATTTTAGGTGACTTGCATTGAAGCATAACTTTGAAAGTTTATACCTACATACCACAGTTTTATTCATACGTGGATAGTGCGTTCATGCTGTGTAATTGTTGTGTGTGTGCTTTTTTTATTAATGGATTATTATTGGTCATATTTCAGAACCTACTATGGTATAACCTAAATCGTAACATGATTCGTCATGTAAAAAAGTGACCTGCACATCTATTTCTCAAATAAATAACAACTTTCATAATTGCCAGAAAATTCGCGAAATATGTACTACTAAAATTTATTAATATAAATAATTATCATTATTTTTCTTTCTTTTTTGTATTGTCGCTTGTGTCAGAACTTTGACAAATTTCGCAAAACTAGCCAATTTAAATGCTAAAGCAACATAATAGCGGCTAGCACATTCTGTGTGCACTGCAATCTTTTTATGGATAAAATGGCTTTTATGGAAAAAAGTAATATTGTGAAGTACCAGTACCTATTTTAATATTTCTATGTTTTCACTTTATTGCATAGACATAGTATACATAGTTAAACACTAAACCTGGAACGGAAAGGGGTTTTCAGTAAGTCGGCGGTCCGACCAACACACGAGTTAAAAATAACAACCAGTTTTTATTGTAGCCAACGCGGCACTGCGCGATAAAGACGGACTTACGGGGTTTCCTAAAGGGTTTAACAGAGACGGCAAGCGTAACGGATTTAAGCATTGTGTGCAATTCCATCAGTTTCGTATTGCAGACCGGGTCGTTTCACGAAAGGATTGTTGCGTTCTTCATACCAAGTGAAACATTAGTCTATAAATAATATTTAAAAAGTTCATCATTATAATGCATTACTTATACATATATCCTTACACCTACATAATTTCTTGATAAACTATTTTTTAGTTCTAAGGTAGTTTATTTTAATGAAGAAATCAAGATGTGGCAATCAGGAATAATATGAAAGGTATTACTTTATTTTACAGTCACTTAATTAATAACTGTCAGTTTAACACTTCTCCACTACAATAACAAATATGGATACGTGCAGTACGTCATCGATAATGTTTTGTAACATCCGTGACGTAAGTCTGCGTTAGTTTTAATGACTTGAATTATACATTCATAGAGCTAGTCGCGCTTTTTTTTTGTTTTTTGTAGTTACCTATAGTTTCGTTTAAGTGTAAAATGTTTTGGAATGATTTAATGCTTATTATACCTAAAATTTCTGCTGACGACAGAAAAATGCAGTAGCAGAATTAGGTCGATCGATCGTGTCGCTGTTATCGAGCCTATCTGTCACGAGTGCTTCAAAGTCACTTTGACGATTCTTACAACGAAGCAAAACCTAAAATCTACACATTCACACACATTAACAACGCTAGGGCACATGTTATTGCCAAATACTTTATCTAGAACCTAATCGACTATCGATTTTTTGTTACTTTCGATGAAACTACAACAGCCCTTGACAGCCCACTGCTGAACCATGGGCTTCCTCTAAATAAGTGTGTCAGTAATTTAACATTCACACTGCAGTATTTTTACTGTCTTTGTCAAATGTGTGTAATCATCTCTTGGTCGGATTTTATGACCATTGGGTTCAAAATGTTGGCTTTATTAAGCTTTTCTGTATTTATTCCGCATGTGAATGCCAAATTGATTTCACTCATATTCTGTTTCAATACATTAAAAACTTAGGATAAGATTGAAGAGGTTTCTGACTAAGTACTTAGCTGACTTCGTCCATCATAAACAGGACAAAAAGTGATAACAAATCTATCAGATTAGACCGATAAAAAATGAATTCTTTGTTTTGTTATCAAACAATATCTTAGAATTAATTGAGGTTATCACCAGATTCTAACTTGGAGCATGTAACGGATCAAAAAGTTTAAGTTTACCTGGGTTATTATTATACAATTATACATAGGACGTTGCTGTGAACAGGTTTAATATCTTTAATTAAAATAATATCTTTAACATATTATTTTATTTTAGCTTTTCAAGGAAAATACGAGATATATATTTTTCAATTGCATTGTTACACGAATGGTCGCAAGTGCGATTACCGGGCCAGAGTTACAGTGCTAAGAAAAAGGATTATTGAAGATTCATTTTTGCTTGTTACATCAGCGTGTCTGATATTATACTCGTAGGCCGCTATAACTTCGTGTTTCAATCAGGTGCATATAATATGTTAAGTGAGTATTAAATACCGTCTGCTTCCCCTGTGGGAACAGTTTTATAGTTTTTTTTTTATTTTGCGTATGTAACATTTTACAGCGGTGAATAACGTGTATAGTATTAATTGAATAAATCGTGTTACGAGACGTTGAATTAGATTTCTGTAAAATTTTAAAAGTATTCAAGGGTACATAGACTTTGTGGGAATAGTGACTTTTACACGTATAATATAAGTGTTTTGATTTAAACTTCTGATGTAAAATATAAGAGCACATAGCGTATAGCAGCCGATAATGCGGTAAACGAGGTCAGTCGTTTATAACAAGACTAAACTAGATCAAGGTCAAGGTCATTTTTACAAATCAAAAACATACGTCGTTGTGACAAACAACCGGTGTGCAGAAATAGATACATACGTCTGAGTTCACCTCGGATTCTCAAGTTATTTGTAGATATGCCCCAGTTGTAGATGGGTCAAGGTCGACCTTGGAAAAGAGGTCATGGGAACGCATCATGTCTAGGTAATACCATCCGAATGTGGGAATATTTAGACAGAAACTAAGACCCCTTCATCCCTATTGAAAATCTAGCTTCATACCTGTCACTACCTAAGTATCGACCTTGGCATACGCGTCAGGGCCGTCAAATGAAGTAATCGTGTCAACGTGATAAAAAATAGTATGTACCGAAAGGACGGGAAGAGGTGGGGATCGCTCCTTGTACCGACGACTCGGTGAAACTTGGTCAAGGCTGGCAATACCCCTCCTCTCCCCGTCAGTCCCCTCCGGTCCGAGTACCGGCGGAACTGGCCGATCGCATCCGAACGCCCGCACGCACTCGATCGCGCGCCCAGATAGCGGCAGCGGCGATCGTTACACAACCTAGATAAATCACCCGCGATGATCCGACTAACTATGTCAAGATCTCATCAATACGTAGTAGATATGAGCGCCGCGCCGGCGCGCCGCCGTCGCCGTGTCTTAGCGTCAGCGCGCCGCCGTCGAACGAAACGCGCGGCGCGCCGTCGCGACATGTACAAACCAGTCTACCGCCACTCGACCGACCGAACCGCGTCTGAGCTGCGCTCGCTCAGTCGAGTTTGTCACCGTGGCGAGCGAACGTGTGTTATAGTTAAGTGACGTAAACAATGGCGGCAGTGTCTTCGACTAGTATTGATGTTTATAAAACGAAAATAAAAGACATTTTTATAACACCACTGAAAAATCTTTCTACAAAACATACACATAGTTTTTGCTGGACAGAATTCGGACAATTAGCAGTAGAATTTAATGGAAAACGGAGAGCTGTTTTAAGTGAACAAGTATTTTGTGGAGTTTGCCTACGAAATGCAAAAAATGAAGACGAGAATTGTTTGTTTTCAAAGTAAGTTAGTTTTACTTTTCCTAGATTGAATTTAGTATTCGAAAAACAAGATTAGTAATCCGAAATTCCAGACTTTCAAGCTAACTATTTATTTTATTTACGTATTATCTTTTAAACTAGTGTCAATATAACTAAATTAGTAGTAAATAAAACATTTATGTACTTACAAATGTTAGGAATTGTTAGATGTTTTTACAGATATTGTTTAGAAATGTCAAACCATCACATTAAGCCTTTTCATTTTCTTTAACATTTTATCACATGGTATAGTTCACATTTATTACTTTTCAGGGCCCAAGTGAAAGCTTACTCTAAAGGAATAGCCACAAGTAATCTTCTCAGACATTTGAAAGATGCACATGGTGTAGAAGATACACAAAGGTCGCAGCCTTCGAGCATAACACAGTTTTTTTCTCCGAGGACTCCGACAACCAGTAGCAGTAGTAAGAGGAGCAGCAATAAGTGGTCTTTGTCTCGAGATTTAGCTCTTTGGTTTGCTAGATCTTTGATTCCATTTGACAGTGTGGAAAATGATGCAATGATTGACTTTTTGAAAAAGTACAACATTATTGTTTCCGCCGACGATTTGCCCTCGAGGCACAACATAGCACGAGAAGGACTGGAAGATGTGTATAACAGTATGCTAGCGTATGTAAATAATTTTATTTCGAATCAAAGTCCTCGTTTTGGTGCATTAACCGCTGATATGTGGACCGACCAATATAGGCGGCGTAATTATATCACTTGTACGTTTCATTTTAATTCTGAAGACATGACTCTCATCAAATTTACTCTGGCTACAATAGAAATTACCAAGAAACACACCGGCGAAACAATCCGTGACACAATTTTGGAAGTATTGCGTTCTTTTAAAATAGACCAAAAAAATATTTATTTGGTCACAGATGCAGGTGGCAATATGAAGAGAGCTGCGAATTTATTAGGCTTTGATAACCATCTTTGCCTTGGTCATGCTCTCCATAATCTAGTCAATGTAGATGGTATCGCAAACACAAGGGAAATATCCAAGTTATTAAAAAAATGCAAGAAGATTGTTAAGCATGTCCGTTACAGGGCACCACGTGTTGAAGCCGCTGCATCTGCAGCACAAAATGATCTGCTTTCTTTTATTGAAGAATTCGCGGAACATGTAGAGGATGAAGATAGCGACTCAACCGATTCTGAATCGGAATCAACTGAGATACCTGAAAGAGCTTTAAGTTCCAGAAAACATTTGCAGCCCCCTCCTACTATTAAAACGAGCACAAGCACAAGATGGCACAGCGTCTTGATGATGCTGAAAAGCATTTCTAACAGTGCAAATCGTCAGCCTATAAATACAGTTCTGAATGAAATAGGTCGAGGTAGTCTCGTAATACAAGATATAGACTATGAAAATATTGAGGCCTTAATAAAATTCTTAGAAAATTTTAAAAAAATTGTAGAAATTCTAAGTTCAGAAACTCAGCCAACTATAAATTTGGCTCTGGTATTTCGCTCGGAAATAAAAAGATTGCTGGAAGAAATGGGTGATGATGAGCCTCTTGTAATAAGAAGGCTAAAAAATAATATGTTAGCGGGTTTAGAATCTCGATTTCCTTTGACTGATGTGGTTGTTGCGGCAACCTTACTCGACTGTCGATTCCATGGAATTAATGAGATAGAGGAATTTATGAAAACAAAAGGAACCACTAAAGTTTCATTTCTGGCATCAATGGTCAGAAGTCGATTGATGACAGAAGACATTCCTCAAAATAAAATTACTGATTCTGCCGGGGAAGTCGGGACGAGTTCTTCCGTTAACGCTGCAAACTTTTTACTGGATTTGGCCCGAAAGCACAGCGCTACTCAACAAGATGCCGAAAGTGCTGTTGAAAACGAATGTTGGACTTATTTCGCGACAGCAAGTCCTGAACATTTACAGCCTTACGGTGGAGATGTTCTGCAATACTGGAGGGACAAAAAAACTTGTATGCCATCATTATATGCTCTCGCACGATCAATCTTAAATATACCTGCTACAAGCACACCGAGCGAGAGAGTCTTCTCCACAGCTGGACTAGTAATAACTGCGAAACGTTCTCGACTAAATCCTATCAGAGTGAATAGGATAGTATTCATCCATGATAATTATGTATTTTGCAAAGAGTCTTTAAATAAGTAGTTTTGGTCAGTAAATTATTTTTTTATTTATAATACTGAAACATTTTTGCTATTCATCAAACGTGATCTTTTATTTTTTTAAATAATTATTGGACTTTGATTTTTTTTTCGGCGTATTTACCTAGTTTTTATGTAAAAATGTGATCTATTTTATTTCTGTAAAAATTATTAAATTAAGAACAAGCAATTTTGATTTGTTAATATCGATCTCATTAAAATTATTGATGCTAGTTTTAATCTTTAGAAATGTGACTTATTTTATTTCTGTGCAAAATGATTAAAATTAAAGGACAAGCAATGTCGTTGAGTTAATGTTGATTGATCTCATTAAAATGACTGATGCAAGTTATTTTTTATCATTAAAAAGGTGATTTATGTGATGTAAATAAGCAATGTTATACGAATTATGTCTTCTGTTTCTTTATTAAAGTATAATATAGTTTTCTTTAGTATCAACAATATGGTTTTCTTTTCTTTATTCTTAATACACCCCCCCCCACACCACCCACCATAAAAATGTACACCACGCCGGCGCGCCGCCGCCGCCGTGTAAATTTTTAGACCGCGCCGCCGCCGTGGAATTGGCCATCGGCGCTCATATCTAATACGTAGTGTAATTTAGTACTAGTAAGATTCCGACCAAATTTTGAAATTGAACATCTCTCGTCAGACTTTCTTGTTGGTGGTAAGTTGGTAAACCCAACTAGTTCAAGAAATTCTTATAGAAATAAGTTCTTTTACATGATATCGGTGCACATAGTATAGAAAAATACAGTTGTAAGTTGTCTTAATGGAAACTACCTATTATGCGCATACTTTTGTAACATGATTTTACGCACCGAAACCGGTTTTTGCGCCACGGAGGCGTGCTTGAAGCGCCTGCGCACCAAAATCCTACCAAGATGGCGGCGTTGGTAGAACTGTCGTAATAATACGACAGGTAATGCCTAAAAAATAGAAAGGCCCGGTGTACGAGGCCGCTCTGTCGAAACACTCGATTCGGGTCAAGGCAGCGCGCCGAAATAGTCGGCTGGCGCGCGAGTTTTTATTATTGTGATCTAACATCTGTCGCTGTCCGCGGCCGTCCAACCCTCGGAGTTAAGGTGTTCTGCAACTTTTAAATGTGTCCAGCTTTCTGTATGTGACATTTCTTATTAGCATACCACTAGAATAAAAATATAGTTGGAAATGTATTTAAGTATTCTTATTTGATTAAGTAGGTAGTAAAACTTTCATCCGACTAAAGTAAATGTTCCAATTTGAATCGAGATAACGAGGAGATGTTGATATGCAGTAAAATTATGGGAGTCATTTTGACTGTGAGCTTTGCGATTGGTCTGAGGAAAGTACAGAGTATCTAGTCCGAAACCAGCAAAGGTTGGTTGGACATTGATGGCATTAAAAAATATTAGGAGTTGATGTACGTGTTCAGCATTCCATCCTCTATGTAATAAACATTGCCTAACACTGCTGCATCAGTTAATTCGTGGTTTGAGTCACTTTTCCTCCTTTTCAAAAGACACAATTTGCTTAATTTTGGTTGTATTTTATTATTTCAAACAAATTATTCAGTTTCATACGTTACATAATACAGGTACGTTTAGAACGTTTGAAACTTTAAATCGATCTTCCATTTTTGGAAAACCCACACAATACTTTGAAAAAATCCTGCGTACCTTTATTACGTAAAAGAGTGAATAATAAAAGCAGCAGGCCGTGTAACAACCATCATTATTCTTTTACCGTGGTCCGTTGCACCGTGCTACCGGTCGCGGCCGCATCACTATTGTGAAGGAACTAATTACTGCATTATATGTTAAGAATGTAAATTTTGTTAAGTAAAATTGATAAACTGTTAGCAACAATAACGTAAGTTACTATAACGATCGTCTTGCTCAAATTATATTAAATGATAGAAATAATTATCGTATACTTAATTTTCTGTATACGATTACTAATTATATTACACTTTATGCGTTCTATATAAAATGTTTATAATTAAGAAATCTCTAACTTTAAAACACTGAGTTTACCATTTATGTAGGTATTATATTATCATTTATGGTTGTGTCATAAGCGACACGTTGTACAAAATCATGATGCAAACTCATTCGATTGGTTACACGGGTCTAATTTCATATATTTCATTTTCAAATGTTATTATTTTACATTCTATAAGCATATTTTACATTGCTATTCAGCAATTGCATTTGTTTTTTACATAAGTATTTCAATATGTCATTTTGGAATTATTCCTGATATTCGGCGCGTGTACACGGATAAGTAACGTGATACGTGTCCAGGTCACATTTGGGTAGCCCATTGCGACAGGTCGACCGAACGTCTTGTGAAACGACGCTTGCGCAGCGTACCCCACCGACGACGGTCGATTGTGTCGAAACGCACGATACAGTCGCCGGCGCACGCCCGATCCGCAACCCCCACTAGACTGACTACACAAATCAGAATACATAATGTAATTTTATGATGAAGTTTTAGACTACACGTCATTGCATTTTGGTACTAATTATCATATAATTAAGCTTGAAAAGAAAATGTCAACTTTTTGGCATCAAGCTATTGCAGCAACTCTACTTACACATGTTGTAGCTACTTACGTAAGCCGCGGGTAATTTCACTAAGCCGTTTTAACTGTTTTAAGTTACCTACATTTTGGTTTCTTCTCGTAAATTTTTGGAGAAATCGAAAAATATTTGGACATTCTTCTGAAATGTATTTAAAAATAAAGTTATGTAAAATAAAACGAGCATTTTAAGAGTATATTGGTTGCTGCTGCGTTGGCATTGCACAAGGCTTGCTGCAGGTCGGGCAGGCGGTGCGAGGCTCTCGCAACAGCCATTATTCGGGTCAGGCAACTATTTGTGTGAATTGTGTCATCTGACATATTACTCTTGTGGTAAATTATTCTTTGTTTACGGTGGGTAATTTTAAAAGATTGATATATTATTTGTATGTTTTAAAAGTTTGTGTTCTAAAAATAGCTTAAGTTTTTGTATTGGTCATCTGGTTATTACATTTATCGAAATTTGTATATTACAGTTAAGTTAAGACAAAATCCTAAATAGGTAGATAACAAAATCAGTCCATGTTGTCGATTTTAAAATATTCACCTAATGCTATGTGAGATAAAAATGTTTTGTGAGTGTTTTACATATTAGACGGAGATGCGATTAATGAGCCGAAATGCGATTTCTTGTCCAAAACTTTAGACTACATTTTAGATGTTGCAAACATCACAGCATCTGGCGAAACGCGCAATGGCGAATGTCTCACACACACATCGGCGCAATAACGTGTACGCACTAACACAGTCAGCGCGCGCGCCGCATCGCGGCCCCGCTCGCAAGTAGGTCAGGGCGCTCTGCGGCCGCGCGCGTTTTAAATTTAGAACGATCCGCACTTCAAGCTCCGCCCCACACGATCGCCTAACTACAAGTTAATTTATAAATTACCTTCAAAACATCCACCTGTACCCGCACCCTTGAATAGTACAGATAATTTAAGGAAAAACTATGAATCACAAAAAACCTGATAATAATTATGAAATTGAACGTTAATGAATAAGTTATGAATACCACGTAGATTCCAATAATCCTGTAGTGTAATATTTATGAATGAAAAATACAAATACATAAGTGTTAATCATTAAATTTGATAATTTTTTTGAAGAAAATTTTAATATATTGATATACTACAGCGAACTACTAAAAACAACGTAAATTTATTATGCATTATATTGCGTAGAAATTATTAGGCACCTTTAATTTGATACCTCATGCAATTACTGCTAGTGTCGACATAATTTTCTAGAAATGATTTAACTACTAAATGAGGATCTACGTTTATCTATAGATAATAATGATTTCGGAAGTAATTGATTGTATAGTAAACGACCATAAAATAACTATGTACTTGCATTTTTTCGATTCGACATCGTTAATTTTATAAATTGTTGTATATGTGACTAATAAAACGAATTTGCCATCATTAGATAAGTCTAGTCTTAACCACCGTCTGTTTCAGACACCCTGCAGCGTCTCAGGGTCGACCTCTACTACTAAGTGGGTGAAGGTCGGCGGGGGAATCGCTGTAGTCGTTACTTTAATACTATACCACAAACGAAGTAGCAAGTTTACAGAACTTATTTTAATTTGCATTACATGTTACAAATCTTATTTAGATCGACAGCAGTGATCTATCGAACACACCGATTGCTGTAAACGCATCCTGAAATTATTGTGTAAATACATAACATAAAAACTTAAATTGAAAGGAAAGGGTTACTTCGCTAATGAATGTAAATATCTTTTAAGATGATAAGACAAAAATCGTTACCCACCTTCGAGTTTCATGCCAACGTCGAGGCACTTTTGGAAGCGGCAAAATGGGCAGCGCTTCCGTTGTGTTTTGTCTATGTGGCAGGCTCGCTCAGCGACACACGTGTACACCTTCTTATTTTGAACGGTCCTCTTGAAGAATCCCTTACAAGACTCGCAAGTTAGTAGCCCGTAGTGGTAACCGCTGACTTTGTCTCCGCAAACGGGACAAAGTTCTTCGATTACATCCTTAGTGTCGGTTTGGTCGCACACTGTGCCGGCTGCTGGCAAATAAGCGCCTGGTTCGCCACCAGCGCCTGTTGGAAATAGATAGGATGTGTCCAAGTTTGCATATCCAAAAGATTGTTGTTCAGGAGGGCACTGATACGCGGCGCCTTGCGGCACGTATTGTTGCGAGGCACCTGAGGGACCCCCGCCTGAACCAGACCCTTCAGGCCCTGGGCTCAGATCAAACGGGGACATATTGAGGGACATGAGGCCTGTTTGCTGGTCCATCGTCATACTCGGCCGCGTGGTGCGGCTGTTTATTAAGAATCCCTACAGCGGCGTTCAACCGCAACAACGTTCACACAGTCACCGAGTTCACTAGCGGTCTGGCCGCAACACTAGCTACCGCTCGTGGGTTGCACCTGTTCAAGCACTATAGTAGGAAGCACATAAATCCAACACATTTTGTTCAATACGAGCGGTTTGAAAAT